CGCATTGAAGAGGAATCGCGATCAATTTCCGACGTGACGTGGAGGAATTAATACTCGTGTTTGACTCATCGTACCTTGCATTGTCCGGCGACACAGAGCCATCGATCGGTGCGTTCCATAGAAATTCCAGCATTATATCCACGAAGATTCGGAGCGTCGCAGGGTGTGCCGTCCATTACTGCCGATTCAAGCGTTGCATAAAAAGGCTCGCCAACGGCACGGCAATTGAGCGCGCAAGAATTTGGTGCTGGACAACAGTCATCGCAGTCATCGCATAATAAAAAAAAAAAAAACACCAAGGTCTTTTAGAAGTTAGTACGCTACGGTACTAAGGATCCTCATTTAACCGAGTATTTGCATTTTATTTTTCATTCTTTCGAAAAGAATTATCAAGAATAAAGCGAAGAACCAATTAAATCGGTCGTGTTTTAACTAAATTGTCCATTAAAATGATAAGAGTTTTGGAATTTAACTTACCATCCAAAAACGGGACCCAATCGTAACTCTCGCCCTTGTAATTTCTTCCGTTGTACTTGGCACATTGTTCGGCCCGCAAATCCTCCGGGAAGTTCGGACATTTCTGTTGCGAGCAACGGTTTAATTAAACTTCACGTAATTAAAGACCGATTGTTGGGAAACCGATTGTTACAGTGTCACTTTAGATTTTCTTCAACTCGATTAAGATATATATCTTTATTTCCCAAAAAATAATGTGTTTCTACGTTTCGGCGATGAAAAAATTTAATTCGGATAAAATTTTTCATGGAACTTAAACGCGGAAAAACATCCAAATTCTAAAAATTTCTTTAAATTTCTAGTGAATTCCGTGCTTTTATAATGGATTTCAGTGGATTCAAAAAGGAACCGCGCACTCGGAACGAATACACTGAAATGGGAATACCGACACGTAGAGGAGAAGCGTTACCCTGGTAATTTCCGGGTGGAAGATTAATTACCGGCCAGTAAAACCGTGAATAGTCTCGCATGTTTGTAAACCGTTTCCGAGATAAATCTAGCCGAGTCGTGGCGCCACGCCGAAAAAAGAGACAAATGGTTAACATGGCAAAGTTTTTAATTGCCACGTTTGCACGCAGAAAATTAACTAGCATGCGTTCATTCAGCAACAAACCATAAAAATTCGCCTTGTCGAAAACAAGATTTCGGTGTATTAAAAATTATATTCATTATAATTTTTAATGTAAGACAAATATACACTTCGATCAGCCAATCGAAGTTTCTCAGATGCCATTAAGATTAATCGAGAATCTTGCAGAAGAAAAGAAACGTTGATTCATTTTCGACAAATTTAAATTATTACACGTTATAGCCCGAAACAAAATCAAAACGATAATTTTTATAATTAGTCTTTTTTTCTAAATTGTTACAAATAAACTTGTTCTCTCTTTTGTCAAAAAAAGAAAAAATCCTCGATTATTGCGAACATTGTTTCGATCGATCGAAATGAATGGATGTGCACGCGATTCCAGTAATAGATTTCTCAATTGGCTGCATTTTTTATTTCGATTCGTTTCTACGGGAATCTTTGATTCCCACGATCGTACGCGAAGAACATCAAACGAATTTCACACGATCCGTACACGTTTCAAGCGACTAACGATTCGAAACGCTTTAAAATCAAACCGGAAGTATTCTTTTCGCGGTTGAGAACGGACACGAACGTCAATCATAGTCTTTACATCTATGAAAGTCTAATTATCGCTCAGGCGAATATCTGGACAGAGGCCAAAGTCGTCCATTACCAACCAACAGTCTTTAACTCTGCAGGTGGTGATTATTCTTATGAATTTTAAACAACATCGGTTAATACTCGCTAGCCATATAAATTGCCATCGCGCGCTTCCTTAATTGGCCTTTGCGATGATTTGTTCGTGACTCGTGACATACCGAAAAGAAAAGAAAACGCTCTAACGATCTTCTATATGCATCTATTCTCTATACCTGCCTATCCTAGATAGATACATTTAATGTACATATAGTACATATTGGCGTGTAAATATAATTCTTTTCCATTTTTGTACATTTCATGAAAATGTTCAAGAGGAAGACGTAAAAGTAAAAATTTAAATAGTATAGAATAAAAATTTTATAATTCTTTTGTCAATAGTGAAAAATATTTGCTTTTGATCTTTCATATACTTAGTATATAAAATATAATTTGTATAAAATAAAAATTTTTAAATACAAAAAAGAATATTTCGTATTTTTCACGAATATTAGAGAAGAAAGGCAATAAATTTCTTTCAGTACAGCGATTTAAACTTATGACGATTATTTCTAGTCATTCTACCGTGTTTTTCGTAATAAATAGCTTGTAGATTAAAAAGATTTACCAGGCGTAGGGTCATTGAAATACAAATGTTAATCTATCACGTGTCGAGACAGAATGTAAAGGCGTAAACATTGACTCGCGTTACGTGTCGCATTGATTTACCTGCGTGTTGCACGTGTGGTATCGCTTATATGTACCGATGCAAATGGGTCGCGAGTTGCTCGTGCCATTCTCCGAGATAATGCTCCGCTTCCTTAACAGTCGCCTGAAACAAATCGATCGAGTTACCCGTATATATCGACCTTAGATGGATCTTTATTTTTCACGGCCGATTCTCACGTTCCATTCCCTCCCTCCTCTCCTATATTCTGTGTTTCTTTGCACAAAAGAAAAACAACATAAAAGTAAACGTAAATTTTTCTTCATTTTTAACGAGATATTGCTAATTTCATATAAAAAAAATCTGTTGTCAGAAATACATAAGTTGCATTGTTTAAAAATAAATTGTTCGACTATTAACAAGTGTTCGGATATTTTCAACCAATTTTCAAAGAGGAATATGTTCGAGAACGTTGACTCTCGACTCTAAACATTGTTGAGACTTACATAAAAGAGAAAGGCATAAAAGAGAAAAATTTAAAACGTAAGAGACGGAAGGGTTGAATTGTCTTTTACTTATTACCCTCGTCAAGCGGAGAAAAATACTCTAACGGTACACAACAGGTCTTTGGACTATTTTATCGCCGGTCGAGAAACTCGCGGGTCCACCGATAAATCCTGCGCCGAGTCATGTAACCACGCAGGTAGCGCTACAAAGGTGTAAATGTCAGCGACAATAACACGTTTCGGGGTCGCTCGCGCGATTCGTCGGCGTGCCAGCGTGTAATCTTCCTCTGCTACCGATCCGCAATTTGCTCGGCTGTTCCTCGATCGTATACGGCATGTATATGCTACGAACGTGTCAAGATTCGCCATGTCGAACTCTCGGAAGAATCCAAGGGTAGAGATGCAAAAGAAAACGGTAACCATGAATTTGTCTATCAAGTTCGTACGTTTGAAAGTTAGCCTTCTTCTTCTTCTTCTTTTTCGTTTCTCGTAGACGTTTCTTGCAACGCTTTCATTTCGTGAAATCGTGGAACGATTATCCATGATCTTTGATGTTAACGGTATCGCGAAACCAACGATTATTATTAATATATAATTCACAGTAAATTATACGACTCCTCGAAATAAATTATATATGATTTTATTATTATTCTTTTGTGGATTTATTTTATTTTATTTTATTGATATAATATGTTTTACTTACTGATAGGGAACGCATTCACGAGATTGGGATTGAATCCCCGTGCCACAGGTACGCGAACACTCGCTCCACGAACTCCACGGACCCCAGGTTCCTCTAATACGATTATCCCGTCCAAGAGCGAATTGAGTCTTTTCCTGTAGCATATGATACACCTGAAAATATTTGAAAAATTAAAAGATAGATGAAATCTCGTATTATTTTACGTGATACGATACTCTTGAAATCGCTCGTAAAGAATAATTCGTTTCAAGAATCATATGCCTGAATTTGTGAATACATTCACATTTGCACTCGTTTCATATCAATGATCATACGTCGTCCAAGCTTTGCCAGATTTCATCGATTCGTTCAAATACGATTCCCAATAACGCACGAAATCTTCGACAAAAGCTTCATTATGCATAGGAATCATTATTCATGTCTCGTGTGCGAGAAATTCGAGATATTATGTAATCACGTACTGGCCGCGATGTAATTAATTTTATTAGAAGCTTCTCCGGATCGTCGGATTAATCAATCAAAGGATGGTGAACAAAATTGCCTCGGCTGCTGATAATCAAATGGCAGGCCCTTGCGTTATAATCCAACCGCGTTAATTACGATAGGATGAAAGAGGAAGAGAGAGACGGCATAACGACATACAAACTGTTTGCTCAATAATTAATATCGGTACTTCCGCGATTGAGATCGTAATTAGACCACTCGCGAGACTATAATTAATTAAGAGACGGATCTGTGGCGCCATCGATATGCAGATTTAAATTTCGATGGTTATAATCGAACGTGTCGTGAACTATATCATTTTCTCATTCGGTGAAATTTGCGATTAGAGAGGAAATAACTCACGGAGTAAACTATACCGAATAAAAAGAAAAAATAGGAAATATTACAGCAACGTTATCTTTGTTTAGAAAAAAGAAAGAACACGGTTCTACTAGGAATCTATTTGAAAATTTGAAATTAGCGTTTCCAAAATTACAAGCTTTTCATCCCATCGTTGATAAAGAACAAAAATTTTACGGTGCATATACGTTTCGAATTGCGCGTGAATCTATAATCTTATACCAGTGTTTTCCAATCTTAACATCACCCATAAGAATATTATATTTACTTTACTATATCAAGAATTCGTTCTCCTATTTGTAATTTTGAGAAAAAAGAAAAGTGGTAGACCATTTGATTGTTATAAAAGTGTTGAGAAACACTGATCCGAATCATTGGTTTATCTTTGGACGAATTCGAAATTCGAGCGGCTTTCAAAAAGTCGTTAACCCGCTAAAACGGAGTAATACTTCCTTGATGACCGACATTAACTCCGGCACGTTAATCGCGGCGCGCATGAACTTCTAGCCGTGCACTGGATCGAGCACAGAGATGGAAGGAAATGCGAAAATACTCGACGAGGGGATACAGAAGGGGCCGGTTGGCATTGCGCTGAATAATGGAGCCGCGTTTCAAGATTATTTCCACGATGAACGATCTTAATCTCATTGTCCCGCGATCCTTTCAAAGGGATTCTTACGAGCGTAACGAACGTCTTTGCGACGGTTAAGAAGCTCGTATTACCCCCAACGTTTCATCGCAAGAAGAGAATTATATAGATAGACGGGAGGATCTTTAAGAATTCATTTTTATATTTTTCTCGATTGTTATTTGGATTATATTTCTCGTTAACAACCATCTCTCGAACTTATTTCGCGGATTGAACGGAGGGGGTCTCGAGATGAGAATACCTCCCCGGTGGGTATATACCGCTGTTAGAAAGCTGCGGCGCGCTTGTTAGCGGAGACCGATTGAAATTGGCCGATCGACCAATCATTACGATTAACTGGAACGATCGTTCGAAGTATGTAAGTTTAATCGACGATAAGCGCCGTTATCCCGCTTGCTCCGGGTTCAACAGGTTGCCACCAAATTGTCGACATTCTATATCGGTCAATTAGATCGATTAAAAATTACACGGTGGGGAAACAACACGTGAAAAAGGGATGCGTTTTCGTGTGAATTAATTAGCGATAAATAACCATGTGGTGGATAGGATTGAGTTGTAACTCGAAAGAGGAATCATACGTAGCATGGTTGCTCGTTAAAAGAAAACGATCACCAAGTTTTGTAAAGAAAGAGCTATTAAACGGCATTATATGGGAGAGCGTTAACCGAGAATGTTCGGTGTTTCTTTACGACGAATCGTAATCGCACGAAGCCGAGAGCGATATTACAGTATTTTCCAAAACAAACGATCCATTTAAACGCTGCATAAAAAACGCGATATAACAAGAAGCATGAGCGGTATTGCAAGAACGGCGCGCATTAGAGTGTTTGCGTTTCGTATTCATTCGTTTGCTCGGCCTTCAGAATGCAGCAAGAGCTCCGATGTAATTTAGGAAGATCCTCCAGTGTCAATTAATTATCTTCGTCGTGCCACCCAGAATAACGTCTACGTAATTGCTTATTAATTCCTGTAAGTGGATTAAATTAATATTCATCGGTCGACCGTACATTCGAGATAAAATACATTAATGGACGAGATAGCTACGATAACGTTATTACGTTCATAAGTTAACGGCAAGAAGTTATATACGTATTAAATTATATCGAAAATCAAACTAGGTATACGTTTAATAAACATATTCCATCGAAACATTCTTCTCTCGTATCGACTTCGTAAAACGAAAATCTTCCATATGTATATATATATATATATATAT